AATTTTATAAAAACTAAAATAACAAGGTATTTTTTATTTTATAAGTAAAAATTCATTTTATAGGAGTTTAATTAAATACATATTTAAAAAATAAAAAAAATAAAAACTTTATTAAACCCGTAACCTAGTTACAAGTCTAACATTTTCTTATAAAAATAAATAAAAGAATTATGATGTTTAATTTACAATTAATTTTATATTAAATAATAAAATAAAAAATAATTTAAAATAAAAAAATAAAAAAAAATTAAATTTGACATAAAAATTAGCATGACATCTTCGTATTTCAGAGAGAACTTGCGTGGGAATAGAGGGCAAGAGAGAAAATAAAGAGGAGAAGAAACAAAAGTGAAAGGACCTCCACGCGCCACCAACTTAACGCCGCAAGAGAAAGGTGACATTATGACATTGAAGGACTTTGCACTAGCGCTTTAGCTTGGTGGTGCTTTTCACACACCGGCTCATGCACCACACATGTCAACTTTTTTGCCCCTGTTTTTCCCCTTGAAATCACATAACCCTACCCATAGTTAATTGAAGCAAACTACCAAATCTGATCTTAATTCAACCAATTTAAAAATATAAAATTGAATAGAAAAAAAGAACTTTAGCGACAAAGAAAACATGGCATCACTATAATCCACGGTATATGTATGCACAATGATTTCACAAAATGTTTAATTTAATTTAATTTAATTTTAATTTTCCACCATTTCCCACACAAACCAATCTCTTCAATCTGTGGAGAGAGAGACAGTATAGAGAGAGAGTAGAGACAATTCATTAAAATATCAGTTGGACCCTTTTAAATGCTGCGTTCATAAAAAATACAAGGGCATAATAGTAATCTATTTTGTTGCGAATTTTTGTCTTCCCATTCGTCATTTTGTTCTCCATTATTTTATCTCCCACCTATTTTTGCTTCCACAAGGTTGCAAGTTGTTTTAAAAAAATTCGATGAGGATACAGGGAGTAGAGACGGTAAGACTACGCGCTCTGCAATGATGAATACGGTTTTAAATATTTTTTATTTAAAAAAAAAATTAAAATAATATTTTTATTTAAAAAAATTATTTTTAACATTAACATATAAAACCATCTAAAATTATAATAATTTAATTTAAAATAAAAAATAATTTTTTTAAATACTTTTAAAACACAAAATTATCCACGCTTGAAAACTACGCACCCACCACGAAATAAAAACGAATCACCATCATGACGGCATCATAGTGGCCGACGTGGCAATATTTAATGGATTTTGGAGTCTTATGGTGGACCTGTGATGTAACTTCACGGAGAAGCAGTTGGGCAGTTGACAACTCCAGCTGGCATCATACACATTCACCGACTGCTTTCCATGGCTTTCAAGCAGCAAATCACAAAACAAGGACGGACGGACGGACGGACGCTTCACTTCTATAATTGTCTACTAGCAAGTGGACTGCTTTTATTTTTTGTTAAAGACATATTTTTTCAAGCTGATCAGGAAAAAAACTGAGCCACTTGATTTGTTGACGGCAGCGGTGTCCAACATGTTCCCCTCCCGTCCATTTCTTGGTCGGTTAAGCACTGTCTTTGGTTTTTTTATTTTACTTCTTATTCCCACGACCACGTTGGATTGGGTAGTTAGTGCTTTTCTTGAACTGGTCTGCCATTGCCGTTGGCTATATAGTTTGTTCATCTTCCTTGTTGTTAGCTTCGTCAATATTTGCCCTGCCCCCTTCGGGCGATTAAATATGAACCATTTTAATTTTATTTTATTTGGGACACATTTGAGGTTATAGATGAATAGGCTTTTTTTAAAAAAATTAATTTAATTTTTTTTAATTTTTTAAAATTATTTTAAAGTATTAATATTAAAAAAATATTTTAAAAAATAATCTCAATTATATCATCAAATAGACTTTACTATACATAAAATCAAGTAAAAACAATAAAGGATAAAGTCAAGTTAGTTTAAGAGGGTGTTTGAAAACATGAATTAACTAATAATTTTAAAATTTTTAATTTATTTTTGTTAAAATTTATTATTTTTATATTTTAGATTGTTTTAATATGCTAATCTCACAAATAATTTTAAAAAATTAAAAAAATAATATTTTAATATATTAAAAAAATACTTTAAAAAGTAATCACAACCATTTAAAAAATATTTTTAAATAGATCAAATTCCTTATCTTGTGCAGATATTTTTTATCTTATATGTCATATTCATTCAAATATTTTATTATGTGCTTGGGATACATGAACTTCTAATGAAAAAACGTGATTTTTACATCTCATATTGTATTTGGATGTATTTTAAGAATGTGCTTGACTTGAAAATTATTAAATTATCAAGGGATGTACATTATGCATCCACGCACGAGATGAATGATAGAGCCCCAGCACAAGAGACAATAGCATGTGATACCATTAATCGACGTTTACTCATTTCAGCAACACTCGCTATTGTAAGGCAAGGAAAAAGTGAACTTTGATTTATTTTATTTTTTAATAAGTCGATTTTAAATTTTGTATCAAAACAAGTCATAAGCATGGTAAAATATGTAAAAACATACACTTCGTAATTTGGTTTTATGGATTCAAACTTTGAGGGTAGTATTAAATCTTGTTTATTAGAGTCATGTAAATATATTAGAATATTAATGTTCTGGGGGTGTTTTCTTAGATCATCTAGGATCATTCACTCGGTAAAAAACCTAAAGTTATGGAATAAATTTTCTTAAAAGTACTATTAATTGGAAAATTTTATGAATTTTATGAACTAACTAGTAATATCTTAGTAATTAGTTTTTTGATCCATCTTTAAAAAAACCAAACATAAAAATAAAAGCAAATACGAAACTTATGACTCGATAAATGTGATGAAATTATATATCAATTTGGGTTTTTTTTTTTCTAATTTATCTAATTTTTCATTAAAGTAGGCCTAAAAATAATTAATTGAATGCAACTAGTAATTCCTGATCACAATAAAATTTATCTTTTCAATATGTTAATATAAGTAAGCATAACTCAACGATTTTATATCCCAATTATGAATCCCTTTAATTTTATTTGATTACAATGTAATGAAAATAGCTGTTTTATTGTATTTTCATGTTGTCCCTCTAAATTTTTATGGTCATCAGAAAATAACTAGTCATATCATATTAATTAATTTTTGTGATTTATTTAAAAAACAAATATAAAAAGAAAAAAAAATCTATGAATTATAAAAAATGAGAAGAATATATTTACAAGTTTTCTAGTCTCTTTTTATTAATCCTTTTTTCAAAATAAAATTTAAAGAATAACTAGTAAAATATTATGAATTATTTCCTATAGTTGTAAAATTGTTTGGGCTTTGTCTATTTTTTTTTATCCGAACAAGAAAAGAAAGCAGGAAAAGAAGATTAAGGAAGGCGTCTGCGTGGCTGGATTTTGTTCTGGTGGGGTCTGGTAGGTCCATTCGTTTGCATGGTTGGATTGGGTGTGGTACAACTGGCACATTTATAATTGGGCTCGTCGGTGACTTAATGTGGGCCCTTTTTCATCTGGCACCAACTAATTTGGAAAATGGGCCTCAGCAGTACTGGAAGTGAGAATGATAGAGGCCCAAAGGGCAAGTTTTTCAATGAATAAAGGGCAACTAATGAACTGCTGCAACCTCCTTCATTCGATTGTCTTCCTGCTCGGCTAGCCGCGGTGAGATTTTGTTTAAGAGGAGAGGCGCTCAAGATTGCCGAGTTTCTGTTAGTTTGATTTTCTTAGAAATGAACACTGCACTTACTATTAGTTGGCTCGTACTCCCTGTAGAATCTTGTACATTTGTAGTTAACTCGACTTTCCATAGCAGTGAATATATATTTCTTCTCACCACCACTCATTGCCAAAAAGATTTAACTAGATGAGGGAGCCTTTTGTAGCTCAACAACATGGAAGGGGCATTTTTTAAGGTCTACTGATAGGAATATTTGATTGAAGATTACTTCAGCACAAAAACCTGTCAGTCTGAAAAGGATAACCTTTCCTCAAAGATATGCATGGCAGTAAGAAGATTTATGTTTTGACATGAAGTCTTATTTCTTAAGTTATTGAAAAGTTTTCGTGTTGAAATCCCGAGAGTAAAAACTGAAAAGTCACCTTTCTTGTCTCTCTCTCTCTCCGTGTTTTTTTTTTCTGTCAAGCTAGCTAACTTAATAGCTTTGGAATGTTTCTGATAATTTAATCTCTCTATTGAATGAGCTACTGCCACAAGTCTACAAGGCTTTACTTGACGAGGTTATGGATTTCAGAAAGATGAGTAAGCTTCGGCATCATAGTTAATATGGAGATTTCTTTGCTGAAAAAGATGTCTGAAGAACTGGCATGCCTGCAAAACAAGTCTTTTTTGAAGAGTTGAGAGACCGTCCAATGATTAAGTTTGTATGAGGACGAGGGCGAAAAAGCTAGATGTGGTTGTGCTTTGAGTTGTAGAGAGCTTATATGTGGAGGAGGAGGTAGAAGAAATATTGCAAAGATTTGGAATCTCTTACCTATGAGTTCATAACTGTTTATATAACGATTGAACATCACAACTTGCACTGAGACGAGTGCAAAAGGGGTCCATTTACTTCCATCATATTATTAGAGATCATCATTTAGACTTCTAAAGGTTGGTGGATCATTGTTGAGGTGAAATGCAATGCTCGAAGGCACTATCTACTTGACAAGACCGACTCTTCACCTCGTTCCATGGATTCTATGTGCTCTAAAATCATGCATGCATTTAATACTGATACGATTTATGCTTGCGGTTGTTGGGGGGAGGTTGAGTTGACCGAGGATTTCCAACTCGACCCCTGTACTGGTTTTCTCTGACCGGCCGAGAAGAGGCACCCATTCTCTTCCTTGGGTCTCACTTCCTCCGGGTGGAAAGTACTTCGGATGTCTTGTCATGTTATATAGAATCAAGTGGGTCCTTTTTTGGATAAACTTATACCTCAGATACATCATTATGTTCTGGAAAATTCTAAGACTTGCAAGGTAGAAATTTAATCATGGAATGTTGTATCAGTACATACACAAGTAACAGGGAGCCTGTGAAAGTGGCTCTGCAGGCATGCCGACAAGATATAAAAATTTCCAGGCAGAGTGATTAATTTTCTTCTAGATTTTCAACTCCATCAAACTGCATGACCTCAACATGTGTGCTCTTGGCATAGAACAGGAAAAGAGGTCAATAGGATAATTTTATGGTGCTTATGATAAGAAAAATTAAGTTTACAAACAACACCTAGAATGTCACACAAACGAATTCTCTAAAGAGCCCTTACAAAGAAAATACTCAATTCTGGTCCTGCTGCACCATCAGGATTAATCATGTACAAAGCTTCAGTGTCTTTAGATCCAATCACTCTCTCAAATCTGGCTCTTATGTATGTCAATTCCCCATCAGCTGATTCCTTCTCATTATTTGGGCAAGGAAGCACACCAGCACCCATAGAAACACCTCTCAGAAGTTGCATAACATGAAGCTCATCATCAGACATTTGCTTCCTCCTAATAGAGTACCCAACCTTTCTTCCATTACAATACACAGCCCAAACAAACTCCTCCAATAGTTTCTTTTTATGTGTCTTGGTCTCGCTCTCTAAAGCGATTCTTACAATATCCGATGCCATTTCTTTGTGAAATAGACTTGAGTGCATCGGTAGCTCTATAACAAACCTCGGCACACAATGAGGATCTTCCTGGATGGCTAGACTAACTCTACCTTTACGATAACCAAAAATGGTACCTGTTGTGGCGTTGTCCTTGAGTAAAGCTTTACGAGGTCCGCCTAATAGTGCAACCATCTTGCAGCCTGAGGTTAACATGGGGAAGAGCTTGAACATTTTAAGAAGCCCACTGCTACTAGATTTTGATCGTTTCTCGCCTGCAGGGTGCCGGAGCAATGATAATATGGCTTGATTGTCCATTTGGAAGTATGGGCTAGAATGTACTGGTGGCATCGTTGGACTTACTATAGCATATGCAAAAAAATTCAGGAAAAATAAAGGGTGATGATGAGTTTGGGGCTTTGAGCTCCTGACAAACTATAAGATACATATAGAGGGAGGTGTAGGAATTAAAAAGAAGAGTTAGGAAGGTGGTTGGTCACTTTGGCTGGATTGCCCTTGGAATCTTTTCGAAGTGGGGAAGGGAAAAGAAAGAACCTCCAAGTTAGTTGAGAGAGAAGGGAAAAGGAGTACTAAAGCTTTTGATGTGACCAGGTTTAGTGATGAAAAAACAGATGGGGATTGAATGCGATAAGATAAGAGAAATCGGACCACATAAGGTTGGGGAAGGGAGGAAGAAAAAAACCCAAAAGATGATAAAAGGGACCCTGGTAATGCTGGCTCAATCATGTCCCTCTATGATAGTGTCAGCATCACTTCTTAAAACTTTGCTAAATAAAAAAAAAAAAAACACAATTCCAAGAAAGTAAATAAAAAATGGTACAGTTTTAAAAAGATGAGGGAAAATATCATAATTTGTAAAGAGTTATAATTTTTGGATAACTGCTATTCAAAATAATAATTTAAATAAAAATTGTAATTTTTTTAATGTAATTGTTATTCTCAATAACAACAGTAGTAGTTAATAATCATGATCAAGAATAACAATATCATAACAAAATTATAATTTGAATCGCATTTAAAATATATTAAATAGCTTTCATTTTCTTTCGTGGCCTTCACTCCTAAAGGAAAAAAACCTAGAAATTAAAAAACTTTAAGAGAAAACAACCTCAATCGCCCAAAACATCATCTAATCCTTCTTGAGTTGTTGTATACTTTTTTGAATATTGATAAATGTTAGGAAATTATTATAGAGGTTGATATTGATTTTTTTTTTGAAATTTATAAATTTTGGGAAATAATCTTTCATGGGTTAATGTTGGTAAATAATGAAAAATAATTTAATTATTGATGTTTTCAATAGATTGTATGGAATCTTTATTTAGAAGATAATATGGCAGCTGCTCCTGTTATATGCATATCGATCGTGGATTTATGAACATTAGTTTTCCCATTTATATTTTTTGAGTTTGTTGAGATGCATTGTCTAGACAGTATTATACAACAATTTGGCTTTAAGTAACATATCTCGTTTGACATAAATATGAGTGATCTGTTGCATTCCATTAATCATTCGAGTAAGCATGCTAGTTATAATTGGATGATCCACCATCTTCAACATGTATTAATATAAGATGCACAAAATTTTTAGAGAGGTATATTCTTTAATTTCGAAGAAGGAATACATGGATTGATACTTGAGTATAATACACTAAATCATTACACCTAACCCAACACAAATTTCTCCATGTGAAGAGATGAAGTATGGGTCAAAAGTGTGTTATTTTCTAAACACTTTTCTTTCCTATACTACTAGAAAATGGGAGGCTCGTGGCTTCTCAAGTAATGGTGTGTGGTGTGAGAGCCTCCCCTCTAGAAAGTGGTTGTATTAAAGTGTGGAAGGCTTGTGACCTTCCTGGCAATAATTGGCGTGCGAGAGTCCCTCACTTGAGAGTTATCATATAAAAGAAAACGAGATTCGAGATCATAATTGGAGATAACATAAGGCTTATAAGCCTTATTGAAGAGTTGTATCAGTCTAAAATTGTATTAAAGAGTAGGAGATCGAAGATTAATCATTAGATATAGCATGAGGCCCAAAACTTCATTAGAAAGTGGAAGATCTAAGATCAATTTCTAGACATTGCATGTGGCCTAGGTACCCCACTAAATAGTCATGTTAATCTGAGATTGCATTAGAGAGTGGAAGATTTGAGATCAATTTCTAGACATTGCATGTGGCCTATGTACCCCACTAAATAGTTATGTTAGTCTAAGACTATACTAGAAAGTGAGAAATTTAAGATTAAACTCTAGAGATTATGTGAGGCTGAAGAGCCAAATGAAAATTTATATCAATTCGAGATTATACTAGAGAGTGTTAGATCTCAAATTAATTCTTGAAAATTGCATAAGGCCTGAGAGCCCCACCAGAAAGTTTTCTCAATCCAAGACTACACTAAAGAGTAGTAAATAAAAGGTACATATCATAAATACAATATTTTTATTTTAAAAATGAACTTATACTTCTATCAAGGATAATGCATCATGAGGTCATCTAAGTACTAAGTGTAAGAGAGAGATTTTTTCCTTCTATATCGTAGAGGTTGTAGGTATTTGTCTTGATCATCCTAATAACTTTGAATGAGTTATCTTGTTTTAACTCAAAGGTGTACCAAACCTTTAGGATACACCAAATGCTCATGGTTTAGTCCTTTCTAGTTCTTCCTCGAGCTTTCATTCCTACCATAATAATGATTTTGATTGAAAGATTCTTCATGTTGGTTGTCCTTATAAAACATGAAGGCTCATCCTATAACATACATGCTTTTTTTACCCGTATATAATTTTTCATAACTTATTTTATTTTAATAAGTTTTTGTCTAGTAAGATGTAAATCTTTCTCTACTGGGCACACTCTCTTACCATATTTATTAAGACCTATAAGGTCAATGGCTCAAACAACTCTTTCACCTTAAACATCTCCTCATTAAATATCTTTAAGTATACTTGCATATATTTATTCTCTAACCATGAACACTAAATAACTCTGTGGAACCTTTTTTTAACGAGTATATTGGAGTTAAAACATGATATTAGCTTGGTACGGAGGTTACTGAACATTTCAATGATGTTTGGCTCTAAATTATTATACTAAATACATACAGGCCCTCTAAAGGTTGTATTATAAATTGATAGTTTTTTTTTTATTAATTCCTACACATAACACCAATTAATGATATTCTAAAAACAAAGGTGCTTAAAAATAAGGTTTGTATGGTTAGGTGATAGGTTAATCACTTAGTTCTTGTAATATGATCCATTTTTCTTAACCAACATGGGTGGTAGCTTGATATCAAAAGCCATGATGGGTGGTAGCTTGGTATAAGAAGGCAAGGTATATGATAGCTTAATGTGGAGAGTCAAATACTTGTAAGGTCCCTTTTGGTATATGTAGAGACTTTCAAATGCTTAGTGAGTATTTTTATAAATAGAAAATGTAATGATATTTTAGAAAAAGAGAGATTTTGAAAATATATAGAGAATGAAAATATTATGGACCCTTTATCTTGTTGATTTATAGGATATTTATAGCTCATAAATCTTATCATTTTGTTTCAGATGAGGGGTTAAAGTGTAATTTTTCTATAATACATTAATGAAAGATAAATATCTATTATATATACATTAATTAGGAATAAATATATCTTACATAAATATTAATAAGATTAAGAGATGGTAAGTCGTAAGGGATATTTTTTATACATGTCTAGAGAGAGTAAAATTCAAATATATTGGTTTAGTAAAAAATCTAAAGACTCATATGAAGCCCCCAAAAAATTAATGAAGGAGCTACAAAGGAACCCAAAATAATCAAGTTTAGAATGTTGGGCTTAAACATGCGTCTTGAACTCATTAGAGGCCAAAACATATTGTTTAAGCTCATGGGTGTTTTGCCTAAACACGCCTTCGCTGAGCCTGTACATATGGGCTTAACATTCAATGTGGCTTATGCCAATAGGCTCAGCCTAGGGGTTGAACCAAGGGTAATAGAGGCTGGGCCTATGGGTAATTGGAAGCAAGCATGTTGTCTGGGCCTGTAGTTTTTTAGGTCCTTAAAGGATTTATAGGACTGTAAATTTTGGACTTGGGTTTAGCATAAATTTGTTTTAAAAACTATTAATAAATCTTGATCCATCATTAATCCAAGATCGTAATCAAACTAAATCTAACAATTAAGTCATAAAAAACATTAATTAATTATGATATGTTAAAAAATGATCTAAAAATATTTATTATAAGTTAATCTAGATATAATGTATTTGCATAAAATATATGGTCATTTTTACTATTTTAATTTGAATATAAGTATCAAATCCTCAATTAGAATACAAACAATTTCCCAAAAAAGATTTAATCAGGTTTTTTTTGTAAATAAATATTGGTTTCCATCCAATTGATATGATCTAAAAATAATAACTTAATTAAAAAGTAATTATATTTATTTTAAAATTAAAAAAAATTCTCTATATCATTTGTCTATATTAAATCTAATTGTTATTCAATTTGTAAGAGTTAGTGGTTGATACTATACAAATGTGGATTTTATGTATTTTAATTTTTGAGTTAATATGAATTAGATGAGAATTTTAATTTACTTTAGAATGTGAATAAATCCTTAATTTTATTTATTTCAATAAAATTTATTGAGACATTATTTATACTTATTAATGCAAATAAATTATTGAAATAAAATTTTTTAAGTGGTAAAGATTTGTCATAGCTAAATAGAAATTTATTCCAATAACTTAACATATAATTTTATAGATCAATAAGATATGATTAGGCTAAAAAAAAAGTTTCATCACATTAAACCAACAAGATAATTAAAAAATATTATAATTTTTTATTTAGCCGTTAGCTCTTCTTCCATGAAATTTTTAAAGTCTAATGCATCAAAAACCTTTTCAATGATTGTTTTCTATATGGATTTTTTAAAATTAGGCTTGAGAAATCTTATTTTGTTAATTTTTCTGGATTTATTATTTTAGTTTTCTTAATATTTTAGGATTATAAATATTATTACGTAGTCCATGTCATTTTCTAACATATAAAAAAGCATTGTAGACTTTTTCAAAAGGCATGTACTATTATATTTTATTTTGAGAATAATAAATTGCAAATTAAGAGCCCGTTTTACGAACAAGTCAGTCTATCTATCTTCTTTTTTTGGCGATTATTTTATTGTTTTTGTACTTCCGCGGCAGCGGAACTTATCCAACTAATTTTTGTATTTGGAATTTTCAATCCAATGTGCAGAGTGGACAAAAGTACAAAAACCCTCGATATTAAGAGCAACCAGCAAAGCAGGTTTACATGTCCATATTATTGCAAGAGGTCAAGTTCCATTGATGGAGCCTAACTTATCTTAAGGTACAGATCATCCATCAAGATCACTTTAATACTATTAAAAACTATTCTGTGGGTAACCCTAGGGGATGGATCGGATACTTTTGGCTTGGAAAATCTTTTTAGAAACTGTTTAGTCCATCATTTTTTTATTTTACGAAAATGACTTGAACGTTATTCGACGAAATGCATGTTATAAAAAGAACTTCGAAGTTAATTAAAGTGTACAATCCAAGCTGCCTTTGTCGTTGCCTTCTAATTATTGTGGCAGAGAAAGATATTGCGTGATTGATTTTCCATCTCTTATCTCCTGGCCCCTTCACGTAATCAGGTTGTTTTTTCAGGTCATGATTGACGACC